CTCTGATAGTGATGGATGTATGTATAACACTGTATTTAAAGAGAGAACATTTGGAAGAAATATTAAAAACGAGCATAAACAGAAAATACATTTTTTAAAGGTGTATTATCAGGGACATTCAGGAGACAAACGCTAGCACTTCCCCTACACAATTACACCAAAACAAACTCTATGTTTTTCCACCCTCTTTGATTACTTTCCGTCTGTCCGGCCTAATTTCTTTACGGCTAAATCTGGTTCCCCTTAGCATTAGATGATTCCACCCACTCACTCTGACAGTACGTTATGACTCATCCAGATCTGAATCGAACATGTTTAAAATGATCACTGTGGTGCAAACTGGATCAGGAAGCAGGAGATTAAAGTCCTTAACCCTCACGCACTACAAGATCATCTGCGATAGGAAGTCTTGAACATCTGTCATGATGTGGTTGAAGGAATTTTAAGAATATCGAGTCGAGTTTATGTTTTAAATATTTATAATGAGCCAATGATTATACATTTCGCGTTTACACGATTCATGTGCATTGACAAATATGAAATGTGAAGAGTAAACCTAAAGGAAAAATACTCAAAATACTATCAGAAATGTAAGAATATGAACACAACTAAGATCTTCAGAAAGGCCATACTGGTTTTTGATACTTATTTGGTAATAATGATATCACTCTGAAGATCTCACCAGAAATCATTTATTCTCTGTGTCTCTAGCTAAAGGCCACATTGACCAGCGTATGACGGCTGAAGCAGAAAAGGTTGCCCGTGGAGAGGAGGTGGAGGGCCGCTATCTGACCTACTTCCTGTCACGGGCCGGGATGCCAATGAAGACTGTCTACAGCAACGTCACAGAGCTGCTTCTTGCAGGAGTCGACACAGTAAGAACAATCACTCTCTCTGTCAGTCCGCTGTACTCTGCCGTCATATCTTCCTGATTTATGAACCTTTGTACGTTCTTTCAGATCTCCAGCACCATGTCCTGGTCGCTGTACGAGCTGTCCCGTCACCCTGAGGTGCAGGCAATGCTCCGGGACGAGGTGTTGAGCGTGCTGCAGGGACGAAGCATACCGGAGGCAGCGGACGTGGCCCGCATGCCTCTCCTAAAGGCCACCGTCAAAGAAGTGCTTAGGTAGAACTCAAAAGATTTCACTTCATTTCCTGAAAACATCTAGTTTTCGACCCTCAACTTTCATTTTGCTTACATTATTGAACTTTGTTTTCCAGGTTGTACCCGGTCATTCCTGCCAATGCAAGAGTCACTACAGAGAGAGACATTGAGGTTGGAGGCTACCTCATCCCTAAAAATGTGAGTGAGTTGAGGGAATAAAGACACTATAATATCTTTGAAACTCTATGTTAACTGTCTGGGTGGAAATCTGTCAGGTGTTCACACGGAGCCATTTTTACTGTGCTAAATGTAAAGGTTTTGGTTTTTAATTTATTGCAATGTTTCCTTTATAGTTTTCGAGGCAACTGATTACTTCTAAGTCCATTTCAACTTGGTTATACCTTTTATACAAGTTAAGTTGTAAATATCAAAAAGATAGCTAGCTAATAATGTTTTACTTCACAGAGTTTGGCTTAAGGGTGAATCTTATTAAAAAGATATTCCATCTCTGATAGTAAAGGTACATTAAAAACAGTGTGAATGTTGTAAATCTCTGACAGTACAATGTTTTCTTCCAGACTCTGATTACCCTTTGCCACTTCGCGACATCACGAGATCCAGCCGTGTTTCCGAATCCAGATGAATTTCAGCCCCATCGCTGGTTGAAGAAGGACCAGACGTTCCACCCGTATGCCTCCATACCCTTTGGGGTGGGAAAGCGCAGCTGCATAGGGCGTCGTATCGCCGAACTGGAGCTCTACCTCGCTCTTTCGAGGGTGAGTTGTCAGGAGTTAACCTTTTGTTTTTGAGTCTTTGATAGGTAGTTTATGATATGATGACGACGACCAGAGAGAGTGAATTACTGTGATGTAAAAGTGTGTAAATGCAAATCCATTTAATCCGTTCCAAACATGTAAAGAAAAAACATTTATATAACATTTACATATATTTGTCCCAACACTGTAATACTTTCTGTTAAATGCAGCATGTACACAGATTATTTGAATCAAGTCATCCTCAAATCCTCTTGCTGCATTTTTTTTAGAAGATATAGGGAACTCAAAGAAAGGGATTTGAGACTAATGCAAATCCAGTTCCTAATGAATTAATTTGATTACTTAATCTAGGGATTTTAGTTAAGAGTCACGACCCAACACTTTGCACATGATGGGCACTTGATTTTTTTCCTTCGGTTTAATTTGTTTTCTCTGTTCACACTAGATCCTCTTAGAGTTTGATGTGAAGCCCGACCCAGAAGGGATTTCCGTGAAACCCAAGACCAGAACGCTTCTGGTTCCTGAAAGTGTCATTAGCCTCCAGTTTATTGAACGATGACCTACTCTCCTGAACTGGTTTGTTGCATGAACGAGAACGTTACTCTCTCGCCCTAGAGAGTGATAGCAGGTGGAGTTATCGCAGGAAACGTGAGACTGTTGCACGCAGTAAGGGCGGACCTTCGACCTTTGTCACTGAAAAGGCCAAAGCCCTCCATATCTGTTACATAGTGTGTCAAGGCTGCTGGTAAAGGAGGGCAGATGAACGAATGATGAGCAGTGACAGCTCATCACTGAGGATTTCCACTGGTATAACTCAAAATGTAATACTGTGGGGTGATATATTTTTAGAAGTAAATCACCATCAAGCTCTTATTTGCACCTAGGCCAAGAGTCATCCAGTGATCTCCTTCAGTATGTTTCAAAACCCACAATGCAAACTTTATCCTTAGTGAGCCAAGCCATTGAATTTGCACCATTTCTGTATTTGACACTGATTTTTTATTTGAATGTAACCCCTTCATACATCTGAGTTTACCTCTGATGTTCTGCACTCTTAACGTATGTTCCCTGGTCGTGCAAATATTTAATACAAAGAGCGTTTCTGCAAGTAAGTTGAGATACACAGTATGTTGTATATATTTCAAGTATTTCTAGAGAGACAGACACATGAACACTCTGTTTCTTCAGCTTGTATTTAGCTGTTGTAGGAATGTTGAGTTGACAGGATGTATTAATCAAAGTGTTCTTCATAAGGTGATTATGGTTAACTTTTAGTGACGGGTTCCTTTTAAAAAAATGTTTTTATAAAAACGGCAGCTATTGAAATTATTCCTGTGTAGAAATATGTGCAGTTTAAAATCCCTAAAAGAGGCCTCTTTGCACTCAGGTATTGTCTGTACTGTCTTTAACATATGCAACAATTTAAGAGTGCAGCACAATGCTACTTTATCTGTCTTACATTGTTTATAAACCTACTAGTTTGAGTGTTACGCCACCATTTTGTAAATGTAATACGTTTCAGTAACTGAACTCTGTATTTATTCTAATTTAACACATTTTAGAACTGGTACTGTAAATATCATTAAAAAATGTCAGGTTGGACTTTGCTTGTTTGTTGATTTTTTGGGGGGTAAACCAATGAGAGTCCATTTTAGGTCAATAATACATTTTTCTTTTGTAATGCACACTTGTTTTCAAAATCCCTCCCTTGGTTCAGCATTTGCTTTTATCTCTCTCAGTTTGATGCCACCAGGCACGTAGGCAGTAATTTCTTGGAAGAATACAAAAAGAGTATCAAAGTTCCTCTGTGACCATGTGGAGTATGTAGTAACAGCTGTGGTGCAGCAGCTGGGGGTCAAACATTTGGACTATATAGCTCCACTGTCAATGGAGTGAAAAACAATGATGTTCAACTTAAAAGAGGTTTTCAAAGGTTAAGGCAGGCCTCCCCCGGGGGGCTACAAACTGTTACAGCGGAGCCTCGGTGAAAGAAAGTGAAAAATGAAAATTCGCCTAGTCTATATGTGTGTGAATTAGAGAGATGGTTCAGAAACGCAGAATGTTGTGGAATTTTATGGTTTTTCCTAAAGTAAGAATAACTAAAAATGCCTTAGGAGAGATCTAATTGTTGAGTGTCTTTGGGATTAAATTATAAAATCATGATCCTAAACTAAACTAGGAATTGAGTGAAACCAACCAATTAGGTGAAAGGGCACGTTTAGCCAAGTTTTCTAGCATAAGACTTTCAAAACCTCTGATCTAAAAATAAAGATCCACCTCAAAATAAAAATAATGTCAGCTCTGGAATCTACAATCTTTATCTGTTTAAATATGTATTCTACACTTAGTAGATGTTTAAATACAACTATGGGGCGTGGGTTCAGGAGTAACAACACTAGAGTTCAGAGAGAAATGCTGATTTTGTAACTCTACTCTGGGTAAACCTGATGGGCATCAGACAAAAACATAAAACTATACGGGAAAAGTTTGGGATTCCTGGTGGGAAAAGGAAAAAACGCAATAAACGTTCACACTAAGTATAACCCTAAAGCCTACATTAAAAAATGTCCTGTCTTGCTGCAATTTTTCTATGATCCTGGTGGGGGTTATTTGATTATGAGAAAGTAGGACAAGCCCAAGACTTGATATTAAACAAAAGAATATATGATTTTTACAACTCCCCATTGCAATGTTATAAACGTTAATAAACACATTAATTGATTTCTGTATGTTAACATTTTGTATTGGTATTTACACATATGGTTACATTTAAAGCACTTTATAAAGTAAGAGTGCATGGGGTTCAAAGTTACAAATGTTTTAACTTGGGCCAAATAATTCATCATAATTATAAAGTGTGTGCTACTCTTTTAAATTAAATAAGCAAACAGGGGGAACGTGTAAATATTTGAACAAGAATAAAGCTTTTAAATGTGTAATTTAATAGCATTTAAGTAACATGACATTGGCCCAAAATGCAAACAAGACTCATCAACCTTGGTTATAAATAGTTGGATTTGGATTTGTGTAGATCATGTAAGTAGATGTAAAATATCAAGTCAGAAAACTGCTTTAAAGTTTGATTCAGACTCACTCTCCAGTCCAGAAGGAGGCAGTAATGCGCCGTCAAGGTGCTACAACCTCACAGGAAGAAAACAGACTAGCAGAGCAGCTAATGCTAACAGGAAAACGTCAAATTCATGTAGCCAGTTAGCCATGTAGCTAGCTACTGATGTGTTTTTAAAAGGCATACATAGACCATACAGACTCCAGCTAACGGTTTAAATACCAGAACGAAGGAATACAACGGGGAAAGGTGAGTCCCCAGACAGTGAAGCTAGTTGTGTTAGCTCTGGCTACGCAACTAACGATAGCTCTCTTCAGAACGGTTTGTTTGCTAAGCTAATGCTAGTTAGCGAATGTTAACGAGCTTTATATTTGAACAAATTAGGTTATCTAACCGAATAGGATGCAGTGCAATATTGTCTGAACAAGTTCTCCATCTTGCCACAGTTCTTAAATTCTCACTAAATATTACACATTGAAGGCAGAAAGCGATGCACGGTAGCTAACGTATGTAAACAAAGGCATTGCTAATCTGATTAGCCAGTCCATTCCTCTGACTCCCATAAACATAAACACAGGATCTACAATCTCAGAGTTGTTAAGTAATGTTGAGGATAATCAGTTTCATGCTGGGCCTTAATCCGTCTGTCAGGTTATAACTTTGACTGTATGTTTCCTTTTGAGCTAAAATAAAAAATATATCACAGTGTTGTTAAAATAATTAAAGCTACCAGAGAAAAGTACTCAGATTGTATGGAATACTCTGTTACAAGTAAAAGTTATACAATCAAATTGTTACTCAAGTGAAAGTACTACTGCCATCAAAATATACTTTAAGTACCAAAAGTAAAAGTACTTATTATGCAGATTTGCCCATTTCAGAATAGCTACAATGTTTTGATTATAATTATTGATGCATTTATGTGTTTATCAAAGCTAGCAAAGTTGAATTACTTTGTATACTGCAGGGTAGATTCATTTAACAACATCTGCAAAGTAACTAAGTTACTTAATAAATGTAGTGGAGTAAAAGTACATTATTTACCTCAGTACAAAGTAGCAACAAATGGAAATACTCAAGTAAAGTCCCTCAAAATTGTATTTAAGTACAGTGCTTGAGTAAATCTTGAGTACTGATTTGAAGGTTTGTATGCAACCTGGAGGGAGTTAATGGTCCATGGACACTGGACTTATGTACTTTAGTTACTTTACACCACTGTCTATAGCTCACCACTTATAAACATTTCACTGTGTTTCTGAGGTGCCCTCAAGTACTATATATATATATATATATATATATATATATATATATATATATATATATATAAAGTAACATTTTGAGGGACGTGTACTTTACTTGAGTTTTTCAATCTACCCAATTACAATTCAGATATCAATCATGTACTTTTTCTCCAGTACATGTAAGTGATATTTTTTTTAATTTTGCAGATTTGGATTAATGAGGTGAAATATAATCAACACTTAACTATAAGATTTATGTTACACCTGGAGTGAATCCACAAGCTACTCTGCAGCATCAAAACGTTATTAAAACTAGCTGCTCCTTTACCAGCTTCGAATAACACTTTAAAGCATCAATAATTATAATCAAACATATAATATATTATTCCGAAATGGACCAATCTGCATAATGAGTACTTTGAAATTTGGTAGTTTAAGTAGTATAATTTGATGCTAATACTTTTGTACTTTTACTTGAGTAACATTGCAATATTGATTGCAGGATTTTTACTCCTACTCTCTGGTATTTCTACGTACAAGATCTAATTGCTTCTTCCACCTCTGGCCATAGAACATCTTGCCGTGTTGAAAGTATGTTTCTCTGACCTGAGTCTGGATTATTTGCTGATGTGTTTCATGTTGTGGCTGAACAGATGCAGGCCGGCGACCCTGTAGTTGGTGTAGCTGGTGCTCAGAGTCGGTCGGAGGACGAAGAGTCACTTGGAGTCAAAGATGTGAAAAGGACTGCAACACAAGCATTTGGCAGCGGTGTTCCCAAACGCAGAAGTTCCTCAAGGTATACTTGTATATTGCATTATTCCATCATGTATGTATTTGTTGGCATTAAGGCATAGCTGTGTTGTTTACTGTTAGTACATATTTACTGTGTATTCCAGTGGTGCATATGCAATTGTTTAAACGGTTGCATTATAATTGTATTTATACAATGATGTTTTAGGTCAATAAAGAGGAAGAAGTTTGACGATGAACTGGTGGAGAGCAGTCTGGTGAAGTCTTCCAGCAGAGTCAAAGGCCCTCCTGTCATAGAGCCTATCCGCTTTTCAGGGAGTGAACCTTCATCCAGCGAGAAAAAGAAGGTACATAAGACTTTAGAAACCCAACACACTTTTGAAAAATCTAGTGGCAAAGATGATAAGCCTACAGAGGTTTGATGAATATTTGTTTGTCCTTATGTTAGGTGACAAAATCAGGAACCTCTCTCTCACTGCCTCTCACCATGGTAGTCAACCCTGCCCCCATCACCAAAAGAGTAAAGAAAAGCAAGCAGCCTCTACATATTACTAAAGACTTGGGAAGATGGAAACCCACTGATGACCTGCTACTTATAAATGCAGTGTTGCAGGTGAGTAGTATTATGTTAACATCATTGTCCAATAAGATGGATAATGAATATGTAAATAATAATTGTGACCAGTTTGTATGAATCAGTTTGTCAGTTTATGATCTAATGAGTCTGTATCTATCTCTAGACCACAGACCTAACCTCTGTTCATTTGGGGGTGAAGTTCAGCTGTCGTTTCACGTTGCGGGAAATTAAAGAGAGGTGGTACTCACTCCTATATGACCCTGTTATCTCAAAGTAAGTAGCTGCTTTACCTTTCCCTCCATATTCTATGTTAGTGACTCAATTAAAAAGTAATTTAATTCTCTCTGTTGTCTCTTTGTTTAGGCTAGCATGGCAGGCCATGCGTCAGCTTCACCCAGAAGCCATTGCGGCAATCCAGAGCAAAGCTCTCTTCAGTCAGGCTGAGGAGGCCCTGCTGGCTAAGGTTGGCTCGGTAAGTGAAAGTGATACACTTAGCAATTGTTGTTTAATAAACATTGCACATATAGCATACTTTTTAAATGTTCTATAACGATGCATGGTGACATTGGCACTTCATTAGTATCAACAAATAAATGCTTTAATATTAAATATAGTCCAGAAATGTCATTAGAAAAATGTCTTCCAATATGAAGGGCCGATACATAGCGTAAAAATAAGTGTGGCAATTTTTACCTATATCTAAGTTGAAGTTTTAGTAGGCATCATAATATGTTAAGTACACTATAAGAAAGACTTATATCCCTATCAGCCATTGGCCAAAATTGGTGGGAAAGTATTGGCCAAAATGTAATATTGTACACTTTGGTAAATATCTGACTGCTGTATTCACGAGCGGTTTTGCTTTACATTTGTCACTGAACAGACCAGTCAGCCCAAGCTGGACGTGTTCCAGGAGCTTCTGAGCAAACAACCCGCTGTTTTTCACCAATCTCGCACCCCCAAGAGCCTGCTGGTACACTGGCAGCTGCTGAAGCAGTACTACCTACTGGATGACCAGAGCGGTGAGTAGAGTTACCTACACAGATAAATACCAATGTATCTTCAAAGCAATTAGTAATATATTACATTTTTATTTAGTAAAAATATATATGTTTAGCCAGCGAAACTGCAATAAGTCTATTTTGGGATTTGGGATATAGAAGGCACAGCTCTCAAAACTGATAGGAAATGTTCATTTTGGTTCAACATGCCTAATGATATAACTGCTGTAATTGTTTAATACACCTGCCAAGATCAACTCTTTTATTACACTTATCAAAAACATCATTGGCTCTTTTAAAAATGGTCAATGCCTCTCGGAAATGATTATTATAAAATCAGGAAAGCCAATACAGAAGATACCCTTTTTGAAGAGTCATATAAAACTGAAAACTTAATTTAAGCCTCTTTGAGTGTTATGTGAGTAAGTCCTGAGTGTTGTTTTTCTATTCAAAGTAATGAGTAATTCTGTTTGTAACTTTGTCATTCTTATGTTACAGTCCAGCCTCTCCCTAAAGGTGACCAGGTCCTCAACTTCTCTGATGCTGAACAGATGGTTGACGATGTAAAGCTAAAGTAAGATTTGTTGTATCTTGCATAAGATGGTATTGTTTGATAAGAAATATATTTGATCATCTTTTCACTAAAGTATTGTTATAAAGTATTGTTTGTGCATGAATTTTCGATGTTGATACATTTTCCTTTGTGTCTCTTCACACAGGGAGAGTAGAGATGAGGTGTTGGAACACGGTAAGAAATTGGATTATGAAGAAACAAGACAAACACAATTCATCTAGCATGCATGACATCTTTGATCATCTTGATACTGTTAACATAAACGTCCTTACCTCTGATTTACCTCTGTCTTTATTTCAGAGCTGATGATTTCTGATCGGCACCAGAAAAGAGAGATCAGACAGTTAGAGCAGGAGTTGCCTCGTTGGCAGGTCCTCGTGGACAGTATTACAGGTATGTAATCAATCCCAAACAGATGGCTTTCCAGGTAAATTAGTTTGTTATTAATCCAGTTCAGTTAACTAATTTGTGTTCATCTGTGTGTCAATAGGGATGAGCATGCCTGACTTTGACAACCAGACACTAGCAGCGCTACGAGGAAGAATGGTCCGCTACCTCATGAGATCGCGGGAGGTGAGAAAAAAACAAAAATGAAAGAGTGAGAGGGATTCCCATCTTTGATGATGTATTATCCCGATTATGCTATTTAACTTTTATTCATGTTCACACAGATTACATTAGGCCGGGCGACCAAGGACAAACCGATAGATGTGGATCTATCACTAGAGGGACCTGCCTGGAAAATATCAAGAAAACAAGGTGAACTAACTTGAACAGTTGAAAGCAAAACAACAAAAAACAGGGAAACATTTCCACAATTAAAGGTGGGGTAGGTAATTTTGGAGAAACCGGCTCGAGATCGCTAGAATTTGAAAATACACAACCGGAAAAAATCTGCCACTTCCTTACAGAGCCCCTCCTCCAACACACACGAACGCGCACATGACCAATGAGGGCACGAGATAAGTTTGTGCACAGATGGAAGGCTGACAGGCAGGTAGGCCATCCAATGCTGGATGGCCTACCTGCCGTGCTTTTGACAGTACTACGGCTTCCACAGATGACATTTCTTTATGGATTTTTTGTCAAAGCACTTAAGATATTCATTGCTATCGGGATGTTATGAGCATTCCATGGAATATAGCAAAAAGTGTATCTCGAGCCGGTTTCTCAAACTTACCTACCCCACCTTTAAAGATTTTAGAGCATATGAACTATTTTAACGTTGCTAATATATTTAGTTTTGATTTAAATTGAGATTGTTTAGCCCAATTATAACAGCATCAGTTCAATTTTTGAGTTTTGCACACAACACGTCAGTCACATCATGTGTATTTGGACGAGATGTGGACTGAACATGAAAACAAAGTGACATTTGAGTTATCCAGACCACTGGCGCAGCACTGTATTTTGTCTTTTTTCATAGGTTTTTCTTGCTGGTCAGGGGGTACTTGGCTGAAAAATATTTCAATAGGGAACATTAAGGGAACACATAAAGAAAAGTTTGAGAAACATAGCATTAGTCACAATAATGCAGAACTCCGGGGGTTTTGAGTCCTTAAAGGTCACGGTCTTAAAACGTTTTGAATCAATAATCAATTGTAACCAAACTACCCATTTAAGTCTGTAATCTTGATTTTCTTTCTTTCTGTCGACAGGAATTATTAAATTGAAGAATAATGGAGACTTTTTCATCGCAAATGAGGGGAGACGACCCATCTACATAGATGGCAGACCGGTCCTGTCGGGCAACAAGTGGAAACTCAACAACAACTCCGTGGTGGAGGTGTGTGGGAAATGTTTCCTTGTAAAATATAACCAATTGCTTATTGCATTTTATTATTGAAAAATAAATAATTTCAAAGTATTCTTATAGAACACAGAGGACATAAACTGAACCCAATATGCACCAACAAAAAAATCATCATGTTACATGTTACAAGTGCTATACTCCCTTCTACCTAGCAATGTTTCAATCTCGTATTGGTAATGTTGACATCACATGGCACTAACGCACTGTATCTTGTCTCTTTAGATTGCAGGTCTCCGCTTTGTGTTTCTCATTAACCTGGAACTCATCTCACTAATAAAAGCTGAAGCAGCCAAGATGGCCCCGCAGTGAATGTCCGCCCTGAGCAGAAGAGTGAACATACAGGACATGACTAACTGGTTATCTCATGAAGCATGGTAGTGCCACCACAAATAAGTGACAACTGCCATGTTTACTGAAATGTGAATTATTAAACTGACTACAGCTAAATCCTGGGGAAAGGTAGTAACAAGTGTTGCTTGTTGTTTGGACAGTTTCCATGTTGTAATGTAGACACTGTCATGGTAAAGCCTTTGTTTTTGTTTTTTTCTTACATTTTCAGAATATTGTATTTAAATTCTGTAGTAAAACTTTTCAAAATATTAAACTTGTTTACACAAAGTTCTCAAGAGTCTAATCTGCTGTTGAAACATCTCATTTCATTATCATAGCTGCAGCGTTGATTATGTAGTATACACTTTGCCAACAGGTCAATCTAGAAAGCCCACCACATGCAGTATAAGTGACAGGGATTCTCTACAGCAGCAATAGAAGCAAATACTCAGCAAATTATAAATTGTACTTTTGTGAAATGTATTTAATCTGGTCAGGCTCAAATAATGATCACCTATCTACTCGGTTACAAAATAAAAACTACAAAAATATACACAAATCCATGAATGGCAAATCAGATGGGACAACTTTTTTTTTCCTAAAATACAATTTAATATATATAAAAAGAAAGCTGTAGTTGTAGTCAAAATTGAATTGCCCGCAGGTTGCACCCAACTGCATACCATTTTTCTTAAACACATATTTACTAAAGGTGTGGTTTACATGTCTGTGGCTTAGTCTTTACATATGTAACAGATCTGTTTTTAACTGTGAGATAAAGGAAGTGTATTGTCAGTGAAATGTGTCAATGAGCGACAGGATGTTCTGATCCATTGCACAAACTTTATAGGCATTTAAAAAAAATTGTATTAAGAATCCCCATCAGTTTATTTCATTAACAACTATTCTACCTTGGTCCCACAAAACAATACAAGCCCTTCCAAAACAACACTTGACAATCAACAAAACAGAAGTAAATAAAAAATTAAGAGAAAATACAATTGCTCACATTTATATGCACATTACTATTTTTGTTAAGCACAACATAAATCAACCTTCACATGAAGCTGTCAGAGGGTGGTTGGGTCACTGTGAAAGCTGGAAATATCGTCACCAAAGCACAGTGTCCAGTGAATCTGTTGTAACCATAGAAACTCCATCCCAACTCCATATATGCCACAGGTTATGTTTTGACTGGATTCCCCAAACATGGCACGGCTCACACAAGCAAAGTTTAAACAAGAAAAACCGACAAGCCTCTGCCACATTTTACACAACAGTGGTCAAATCCAAACAAAGCCACACTTCTTTTGTGACATTCTGCTCCTCTGTATGTCATTTTGGGTGAGTAGCAAAGAGAGAGAGAGAAGAAACTCAAGTCACTGCAGCTATTGTTAAAAAACAAGGTAGTAGCAGAAGTAGCCCATATAAAGAGAGTGAGTTATGCTCTACAACAGGCTCTACAGCCCAGAGGCCAGGGGCCTATACTACGAAGCAGGATTTTCGCTTAGCCGGCTAACTTCAGGGAAAACTCGGGCTTTCCGGTCCTACGACGCTGGTTCTCTTTTTAGTGGGCTAGATCTCCATGGTAACTTATGCTGAGCGGCTAACCTGTTACCGCATGGTGTTCGCGGGTCAATTTTGACCCATGATTTATCTCCATCTCCAAAACACTCCAAAATAATGACTATCATCCAATATTGTTTTAACTCCATCATAACCTTTAAATTACAACAGGATTGTTTGGTCATTATTTTGGAGTGTTTTGGAGATGGAGATAAATCATGGGTCAAAATTGACCCGCGAACACCATGAACGGTAACAGCTTTCGAACACAACACAAGGGTTAAAGATGAATATGACATGTTGTTCACACTGACTTTGATTGCTTACCATGTCACTGGACTCTAATCTTCAAAATGAATGTTTATTTTATGTGTGATAATGTACACAATTTTAGTATGGATAATATGTCACTTTATTTCTTTATTTCATTCAACATGTATTATTAATTACTGTGTGTATGTAAATGTGTTGGACAATTGCAGGACTAGCCCTCACTCCATATTTGTTTTATTTCTGACTCGGATGATAAACCAGGCCTGTCATAAAATGCACCCCACCCAAAAAGATGTTTGTATTAATCCCACCCTCAAGCATTTTTCAGGGTATAGTTGTAGGACTAGTACCAATGAATGGAGCAAGTTTCATGAATGTGACACTTTTATTTTGTAAGATAGCAAGGGGCGCATAACGTGGCAAAAATATGCATGAGCATAGACTGTAAGGTCATGAGGTGCCGCTTTGCCCGCCTCGCCCCCGGAGTAGCAGTCTTCGTCGCCCCAAACACCGCCACCCCTCGGCTGCCCGCAAGTGCCAGAGGACCTCGGCAAAACAGAGCCTGCCCAGGTATATTTAAACAAGTTCCCAACTCGCTTGTACAGTGGGGTAAACTCATTTTGCAGCTCATGGTTGATGGTTTAAAAACAGAGATTGGCTGGAATGTCCTGTAAAATAGATGACATATTCTGCTATGCCTGTAGACATTTCGGTTCAAATACATCTAACTCAGATGCCTTCACCACAATTGTACCAGAGTAGGCTACCAAACGCTGTCTCCTGGTACTCATCCGAGTAACTCACTAAAAATGAAATACATGACAGTTAAACAAGAATAGAGTTTAAAAGAGGAGTGATTTGTAAAATATCCATAAAGAAATAGAAAATCTGTTTACAGTTCTGTTTCATATGGATGTTGAGAGATGTATCCATAGATCTCTTAATTTTTCTCTCAAAGTGCACCAGATTGATGCTTTTAACTTCAATATTTAAAAAAAAATCTTGTGTTAGATCCACTCCCCACTTATAAAAATAGCACTTTACCCCTGCACCCCCTCTAATCTCAGATGCACCCTGAGTCATTTTATTTAAGTACAGTGAGCCTTTCTAAAATATATAGTAAAGAGACAAACCCATCAGCATCAGCATTATAGGATATACTATGACTTTGAGCCAAATTCTTGTTTTGGGCTGTATAAATAAATTGACTTGAAACAGTTGCCGATTTAGAGTACTGGCACCTTTTTTATTCCAATTCAAGCACTGTTTATACCCAGGGTTCGAGTTATGTGGGAGCCAATGGGAGCTGAGCTCCCATAAGGAGGGGCCTGAGCTCCGACGGACGCATTGAAATCATACATCTGTGGGGGTCGCTAATACATTACCAACAACCTTTATTTTAATCTCAAATAATGCATGTGTCAATGTAATGAGTATTATTTACGTCAACGAGGTAAATGGGCTAAAAGAAAAACATGTTTTCCAAAAGAACTACGCATCTCTTGAATGACAATATGCCTGCACTGCACCTCAAAGGTGAACAATACATTATTGCGCAATCTATGCCTGTGAGCGTGCTGCGCGAGCCGAGATGATGTGTGCGTGCGTAGTTGAACCTTTTCATATTTAAGTTTGTAGCAAGTAGAGGGCTGCTGCTGTGTGTGTGTGTGTGTTTGAGTCTGTGTGTGTGTGTGTGTGTGTGTGTGTGTGTGCGTGCGCGCACGCGTTAATTTTAAAGACCCCCATAGAGCTCAGTTTATAACTCGAACCCTGTTTATACCATATACTGATATACTAATACAAAATCAGTAAGATGTGTTAGTATGAACCTACTGGAAAGCCCTGGGGCAAAAAGCCCTGCTGTTGGGTTTTAATATGTAAGAAAGTGTATTAGGGTTGCAAGAATATGAGTACGTTTTTTATTTAATTCTTTCGAAAATACAGTCTTACTTTAAATAATGACCTTTAGGCTCGAAATTGTCCTCACCATTTCAATTTTATTCTCCAAATAATATTGAATTATTCTTCTTCACATTTAAATTTTAGATTCTACACTCAAATTGCCACAGACCAGTGACAGATATGCACTTCAAATATTAGTACAGATTCAGATTCTGGTAGCCTACCTTAACTCGTTGCTACTGTTTCCTAATGAGCCATCCTTTATGGTTATTGAGATAATGTGGCTGTAAATGTGATTAATAATTAACAACTGCAATAGAATTGTAGGAAGTTGAGACTCATTTGTTAGATAGATTAGATAAAGCTTTAAATCCTTTCCGATTAATGATTTGATGCAGGTTTTATATGTATTTGCCTCGCCTGTTCTGCAGAGAGGCGTTTGGTGTCCACCTCATGCAGTGAATGGTTCACATTTGACTAACGTTGGTTGTCTTGAACGCAGCTCGGTCAGTTATTGTGCAGCAGTTCAAAGCATTAATTTCGTAATCTCGGTTGTGAATCGTGGAGAGCAGCCGACTGACAGAAGTGAGTAACGATTGTGTTTTAATATGAGCAATCGGAAACTATCTTTCACGTTTCTTCTTCTTATGAACTCATCTGAGTGAGGGGGTGAAGGCGGGCATGCTAACAGTGCTAATTTGAATGTTAGCTAAGTTAGCCGTGAGGATAGTGATGGTGACCTGTGTCAGGGTAAAGGTTTCTAGCAAATGTTTACCAATGTGTAAACATTGGTAAACATTTAACATTCATTATGTTTCGTAATCTGAATTGGTTTTGTAATGTGTTCACCTCGGCAGAGCCCTCACTGTGATGAAGCTAACACAAAATATGACAGTGGGGGAAATGTTTATGTGGAATATTTAGGGCTGTCCTTTCCTACACCAAAGAAAAAAGAAATGCTTAGTCGACTAACACTATTACTTTTTGTGTCAGCTAATCGAATAGTTTATTAAGATATGTATAACTGAGAAGACTCAAGGATCAGGCAAAGATACCACTTTAAATCACTTTCTTACGAGATGTGCTCACACGTTGTTTTTAATAATATTCTATAATAATATTACTCTTTTATAAGAGGCATTCTGCACAATAAGTACTTTTATTATTGATACTTGAGTACATTTAGCTGATAATACTTCTGTAATATTACTTGAGTAACATTTTCAACTCAGGACTTTTACTTGTTATAGATTATGTTTAGACTGTGGTATTAGTACTTTTACTTAAGCAAATGAGTGCTTTGCCACAACTGGAAATAAGTCATTCAGTTTACAAAAAAATAATTAGAAATATGACTGTTGTAACCACATAGCACATAGGAATTCAAATGGTATTACTGGAAATGAATATCACCAAAATACCGTTATATACCATTGATTATGTGTTGAGTTGTTACATTGGTGTTCCAATTCACGATATGTAGCAAAAACGTGTTTGAACTTTGTTTTTCCTTGACATTTTTGTTACCATGTGAATTATAAAGTGCTGCCATCTGCTAAAGAAGTTTTTGGTAAACAAAAGCTTAATTTTGGCGACTGACCGATTAGTTTAATAGACACATCTCCAAAACTGAGTTGCTTAACGAATAATCATTAAAAAGCTTCACTTTAAATTGTGTGTTTACCAAACAGGTACTCATAATTTTCTCGGTAAAAGTCAGTCAGCATTAAAAAATTATTTGCTGAGTAAAGAAAACCTTACTCAACTGAGACCAAAACTATAAATTAGTTAACTGATTGACAAAGATGGGCGGCTAAACAATTATTTCAGCATTATTTTGAGTCCGAAATATTGAGCAGCAGCAACAGTATTGCGACCCTATCCTAACAGTAGTGCGACCCTATCCAAACAATAGCAGATTACCATTTCACCTTCTGAACTCCTGGACTTTTACTGGCACTCGTCTGGCTGCTGGCTGGCATACTGAGGTGGTAAAAGCTGGTTGAAGATAACCCTGAGTAATCTTAAGAGACACTGTTGACTGATAAGACAGGTGTGATTGAATGTTAAAGCAGAGCTCTTCCAGGTGATATCTGTAATTTTATGTTTAATATGTTAGTAAGATTTTCTCTGTTCACCAAACTACTTACAACACATTTATATTTAGATGATTTACTTATTTTCTCCTCCAAGAAAAGTGTGTGCTTCAGGTTTTGGTCCGGTGCTCCTGTAATCTGTTTCCTTTGACCTGCCAGTCAGATCTTTTCTTGTAAAGCAGCCCCACCCAGAGATGTTTTCCTTAAAGCTTAATGACATTGTGTCACTTGTTTCATGCTGGGGTCATAACGTTCTTCTTTTATTGTCAAAGTGTCAAAGTATTACCAACAGAAGAACACAGGGTACAGTTGGTTTCTTTATTGTATGCATGACCAACCTTGGTCACTAGAAGGGAGTTACACATCCACCAACATGTCTGAGGTCAGAGAAAAGTGAAACTGAAGCCCAGCCCTCTCTCTGTTCACGCCCCCCGAGCTGGTTGGTCAGTTCAGGAGGAGTTTTAAGGCGTACAGCTTCATTTTGACATTTTCCCCGAACACATGTTGGCTGTAAAGACAGAGAAGGATTGGTGAGGTATGCTGAAAATAAAAATGGTATATCAGATTCTACTTAGCCTTCAAGTAAAAATGTTTTACACACATTAGCCTTTTTATTTTCACCAGCTATTCTATGTGACGTCCACTGTGTCCTGACACAGCAGTGACAGAGCTTGTAACCTGTACGACTGTTGGACGTCTGAAACTCTGACCTACTGTGTTCATCTGTAAAGTCCATTGTCGTTAATGATAACGTTGCTGAAAATAGTCCAAAAATAATCCATGTTTCTCAAAGTCCAAGCATTTTAAATGTTTTGTTTTGTCAGTCAACAACGTAAAGCTATTCTGTTCAATATGAGGAGTTATGGTGAAGGGCAGAAGATGACCATATTTTAAAGGCTGAAAAAATTTGAATTTAAAAAAAATTAAATAAGTCTGCAACAATGATTGGTTTATCAATGTGTCGCTTGGAAAAGCGCTCTAATAAATGTAATTTATTATTATTATTATTATTATTATTATTATTATTATAGCTACAGCATGTACCGTAATCTTGGTGGTAAAGCAAGCATTAGTCGGCGCCCAGATGACGGTAAATATGTTTGTCTGCTCTTCACTAGAGGTTCCTGCACTACACTAGTTCTGGTCTGCACCCAAAGGGGTTAAAATATTAATTATTTGATAGATATGCTCTGTTTATTTCACTGTGAATTAACCTTTTTTTCTTATCTCAATTTCTTCCCAGTATACCAATGCAATGCTGCTCCTCAGACGCTGCCACAGCCTGACTAGATTTGGACCTCTCAACACTCAAAGGTACACTGCGTTATTATACTTTTGGCATTCACTGGATCTTCACTGTCAGCAGCTAGGTTTGGTCTGTTCTCCACCTGGTCAAAGCTTAAATAAAGGAAACTAAAACGGCAAACTCAAGCTGTGTTTGAGCAAAATAATAGATATTCATTCCCTTTTTTATCTTTTATTTAGTCAATAGTTTTGTTATCCTTGAACATTCGGTTGAACACAATAATGAGGTTGGTTTGATCTGCATAAAAGTCACATTTGTATTTGTTTAATTTCACAGGCATCAAGTGACCCCTGCTGTAGTGTCGTGTGCAGTTCGTCTCTGGCGCAGCAGCAGTGAGGATGGGGGGTCCTACCAGCGCGCCCACGGTCCCAGATGGAGACATGGCCTGGCAGGACTGCTGGCTGGTACCGGGGCTGTCCTGGCTTATAGCCTCCACCACCACAAGGTTAGGAGGAGAACAGATCTTTAAAGACGATGTTTAACTTCTTTAGCTAGTATATCAAGCATCTTTTCCTATGATTCTAGACCACGGGTGTCAAACTCAAGGCTTGGCCCGCGACCTCAAGAACTTCAAAGAATATAATATACAATACAATTGGTGTAATTGTTGAATATTTGCTTTCAATTGTTTGCTCTAGACTTCTGCTTTCAGACGTAGTTATTTATGAAGTTATTACCTGAACTGATAATAATCCAATGCAGAGCCAATAATGTAATATAATACATTATTTAATATATATTATATATTTATATGTGTATATTTATATAGTCTTAAAGTTACAACCGGCCCTTTGAGTGCAACCATAATGCTAATGTAGCCCGCAATTAAATTTAGTTTGACACCCCTGTTCTAGACTAAAGAAATTGAAACATGATAAGTAACATACTTTTTAGATATTAGGTTTTTTTAAATATATTAACCAGGTGAAGATTCATCAAACATCTGGATCCGTATCATGCTACTGCTGCTCTGCACTTGCTGCACTTCTTTGCCACATACCTTACTTTAATGAATCATATGTGGATCTCTAGAGCAACACAGTTTAGATGTGTTATAATCTTGTAGTATAAGGTGGAATTGAATAATAAATGTATGATTTGGCCACTTTAAAATGTCCACTGACATTAACTTTAGAGGAAAATAATTTGCTGTGTTGCACCCGACACCCCCTTAAAGTGAGGGCAGTCACTAGCCTCCATCTGTTGGTTTGCAATGCTCAGGAGCATCTGTCAGCTCATTTATCAATTTTCACTCCCACATCTTTTGTTACTCAACGTGCAAACATGCTTAGCACACATCCTGTGTTTAGCTGGTTGCAACATTTCTTTAGAAGAAGTAAATAGTTCAGACTGGTACATACTTACACTGAAGACTTAAATTGCAGAAATATGATTTTAAATGTTTGTTATGTATAAACACCAATAAATACCAAACATTTACTTTGAAATGTGTCACGTGTGTCCACAGGGATATTGCATTACAGTAAATTGTATGTCATTTAGCTCACACTTTTTATCCAAAGCGACCAACGATGACTTCAATAAACAATATTAGTTTTTTTTTTTTCCTATAATATTTTTCTAAATAGGATTGTTTACACTTTGTGACTTAATCCACATTTATTTTAGTTCCATGTATCATACCACATATGAAATTAGCTCCCTAGTATCTACCCAGAGTGTATTATATGCTTCTCCTAAGGTTTTAGTATAATGTAACATTGCTCTCAGTCTGTATGTCGTCTACAGAGGCTGTTCAGATAACAGTGAGCGCCGCTAAAGATAATCATAGCGTCAGGTTAAACACACCTAGCACAGTTCTGTCGCCATGTGCAAACATGAGAACAAACACTGCTGTTTCCGCCATAAAACTCTAGGCATAAAAGTGACGAATAATGACAGTAACAAAGTAAACACAAACTAATCCAGGTGACCTCTCAATCACAGTTGTACTGAGCAAGATGATTTGATTGCAACATGCTCTCTACAATTCTCTCTACAATTCTTCTAAACTGGATTATTAGTTTCCAGTCAACTTGTTTTTCAAATGTAATTTTTGAAGGATAACACAATGAATTTCTCCTCTTTCCTCTCAGGTGCAGGCTGAGCAGCAGGACTCCAGCACAGTGCAGACCATAGAGAAGACCTCAGCGTTTCCTATCATCAGTCAGGAGGAGGTGACCACTCACCGCTCCCTGGAACATGGCATCTGGGTCACGTTCAAAGGAGGCGTCTACGACATCACTGAGTTCGTGGCCATGCACCCTGGAGGGGATAAAATCTTGCTGGCAGCAGGGGGAGCTCTTGAACCTTTCTGGGCGCTGTACGCTGTACACAACCAGGAACATGTGCTGGAAATGCTCTCAGAGTATAAGGTGGGTCCATTCATGGTTTCTGTTAATAATTTACCTAAATAAAAAATAAATGTTTGTCTAAAAAATGTGTGTTCATCCAAATTATAAAAGAAAAAAGACACAACTATCCTCTTAAACCACGAGTATTGTAAGTCTAATGACTGTAAGTAAAAAAGAACCCCAGCATATTGAATACAAAACCAGTAACTATTGGCAGGATCTAAACATGGGAGTATCTTGGAATAAAGGGTTTTCAGCAGGTTTTCACTGGGTGGAACAAGTTTCATCAGACAGGGCGTTCATCACAAAGCCACCAACGCCAAACACCGAGCCAATGTTGGTTAGTCTGAGATTTGCAGCTAAAATATACTCAAGACCATTAAGTTTCAACTGTCCCTGACTTACTGATTTTAACCATGTAACATACCAAAGGCAGCTTCACCATGCAATATAAGTAAAAGAGTAGAAATACTCAAAATATGAGCCACAGAAAAAAATATGGTATAAACTTTAATATTATTTCTCAGTCTGTCGCTTGTAAACATCCATCACAGTTTACTGACACAAGGACAAGATACTCAAGTGTTTGCAAGCCACAATACACATAAAAATAACATCCCCTTAAGCAATTATTTATTATACAAATCCATTAAAAATGTTGCTGTATCTTTGAGAAATAGAACATTTGAAAAATGCCAAACTAATGCAGCTGTTAAGAAGGGGATGTTGAATTTAACCTGAAATGAACTTGTCATTTATTTTTGTCTGTCGCAGAAGACGCATATGAAAAGGTCTACTGCGTACTGTATACTGAGGAGCAGCTGTAGGCTAAATACTGGCACTCTTCAAGCTGTCATTAGAAAAGAAAACACTTGCTCATGTCCAATCCAAGTCACTCATCTGGAAAAACTTAAAAAACAAACTTTAATAAGATTAAATAAGGATATTTAATGATAAAATTGTAAAAGCAAGAACCCTGAAGAAGGCTTGCTTGTGCTCATACACTTGGGTTGTTAACAAAGCTCTAAGTCTACAAGCATTATATATGTTTCCTCGAATTTAGGCGCAAAAAAACATCTGATCGAAGGCTTTTCAACTTTTTGCCATCAGAGTGCCTTATGCTGCGTTCACACCGGACGCGATGCGATGTTTGGGGGCGGCGCGATTACATGTAAAGTCAATGCAGAGGCACGGACAGACGCGAATTCGCTCCGACGGCGCGCATGAAGCGGTGGACGCGGCGCGATTGAGGCGATTGAACGGTGCCGCGTTAAACGCGAGAGTTCAATTTTTTCAACTCGAGCGTCAAATTCACGTGACGCGTTCTCACGGAAGCCAATCAGCGGTGAGGATCTCAGTCGCCGTCACTGACGTTCAACCACACAACATCAGCCGTTAGCTGTTAGCAGTTAGCACACAGAGCTCACAGCTCCTCATATCTGTTCAGAAACTGGACAAAAGTTAAACAAGTACAAACCACAGACTGTCTGTGTCATGGCGAATACAGTCGCTGGTTTATTTATGTCTGTAGGCCGTTGTTATGAGTGTGGAATGAGCATATACAACGTTAGCTTAGCCTGGTCGACCCGATCTTCATTCAGAAAACAAGCATTTTAAAAGGTGTTTTGCCTGCCGTCTTGTCAAAGCATTAATTCATGGTTGTTACTAACCGGTATCAGTATGTTGTTACTTCGGCATCATTTAGAAACGTGTATTACAATTTAATCACGGTAAAATATGTTCATTTGTTGTAGTTGTAGCTCCCGAGCCAGCGCGTCTTGTTTGAATGATGCGAGTAAACACAGCTGGCAGCCGCGGTGAAACTCCAGCGTTTAGAGCGATGCGATAGGAGCGATTAGAGCGAAGCGAATATTCGCATTGCGTCCGGTGTGAACGCAGCATTAGACCTTTTTCTGCTGAAAATATGTGATTGTTTATTCATAGCATCATTCCTTTGTGGTCAAATAAAAGTCCTCTTTGTTTAACACAAGGTTGGGGAGCTGAGTGCAGAAGATGTGAAGAAGCAGAAGGCTATCAAGACATCAGACCCTTACTCTACGGACCCCGAGCGCCACCCCGCCATGCACATCAACAGCCTGAAGCCCTTCAACGCAGAGCCACCTCCTGAGCTCCTTTCTGACAGCTTCATCACCCCCTCCGCTATCTTCTTCAAAAGGAACCACCTGCCCGTCCCCCAGGTGGACGCGGCTTCATATCAGCTGCACATTGAGGGGCTACCTGGCGGAGTGCTGACGCTCTCTTTAGAGGAGTTAAAGACTCGATTCCCCAAACACACCATCACAGCCACGCTGCAGTGTGCCGGTAACCGCCGCTCGGAGATGAACAAGGTGAAGCAGGTGAAAGGGCTGAACTGGGGCATCGCTGCGATCAGTAACGCCACATGGGGGGGGGGCGAGGCTCAGGGACGTGCTGCTGGCCGCTGGTTACTCGCCCGATGTGGCTCAGCGGGCTTTCCATGTTCAGTTTGAAGGACTGGACAAAGACGTGACCGGGACGACATACGGTGCTTCCATCCCTCTAAACAAGGCCGTTAATGAGGAAGGGGATGTCCTGCTGGCTTATGAGATGAACGGCCAGGATATCCCCCCCGACCACGGCTACCCGGTGCGTGCCGTGGTGCCGGGCACAGTGGGCGCACGCAACGTGAAGTGGCTGGGGAAGATCATAGTGAGTGCAGAGGAAAGCAGCAGCCACTGGCAGCAGAACGACTACAAGGGCTTCTCCCCCGGGACGGACTGGGACACGGTGGACTTCAAGTCGGCTCCGGCCATTCAGGAGCTGCCCATCCAGTCGGCCATCACCGTGCCGACAGACGGGGCCGTGGTGGACCGCAGTTCTGAAGAGGTGACCGTGAAGGGGTACGCCTGGAGTGGAGGGGGCAGAGAGGTGGTGCGTGTCGATGTTTCTCTGGATGGAGGGAAGACGTGGCAGGTGGCCCAGATGAGGAGCAGTGAGAAGGGACAAGCCCCCGGACCCTCACCCCCCCCGGGACGGGCCTGGGCCTGGAAGCTGTGGGAGGTGACGGCCCCTCTTCCTGCCGAGGCTCAGGAGCTGGAGATAGTTTGTAAAGCGGTTGACAACAGTTACAACATGCAACCAGACACTGTTCCTCCCATCTGGAACCTGAGGGGGGTCCTGAGTAACGCCTGGCACAGAGTGAAGGTAGAGATCAGAGAAGACGATAACGAGGAATAGACTCCGTGGTTTCATCCGTTTTCACAATCCAAAAGGTTTACGCTTGAAAAGGTTATTTAGATCTGTCACTTGTACTCAGCACAGAAGTGATGGAGGGAAATACGGTTTCATAGACACACAGCTTTGAAGTATTTATGCAAGTGTTGCTTTTGAGATTTGAGTTAATCTGGAACAAAGCTAAAGGCTTACATTTACCAAAACATGTCCTGTTTTATCGATTGTTGATTCACTTTGGTCTTAAGGGGAACATGTTCATTCTCTGGTCTTTTAGAAAAGAAAACATTTTTCTATGTATTTTTGTAATTGGTATATTGCAAGGATTGAATTAATTGTGTGGTTAACATAATTTAAAAGCCTTATTTAAAATAATATGCTGATATCTAATTGAAATGTAAACACATTTTAAGTGTATTATAAAGTAATTACTTGAAATGCTCGATATTAGAGTTGCATGTTCACAAGAGTAGAACTGAAACTAATATCATTTGGGAGCATTGTTTATCTGCCGCTGTGGCATTGCTGACCTTGGGAATAAACTATTTAATAACTTTTTATGGGAAGTTTGAGGAGCAGAGGTCGGTGCCGTAGATCATCATCCGTTCAGTCAGTGGAGCTGCCCTCCTGCTTCTCGGTGTGTGTGAAGCACCACGCCTCTGTGGAGCTGCAGCTCAGAGCAGCTGTGTTTATACTACGACGCTGCAGAAGAAGGGCGCTTCTCGACCACAGTTTAGACTACACTGTGTTTTGTGTAAAATGTACATTATCGTTGAAGATGATAAATAAAGAGCTCTAATTTTACACTGACATACTTCTCTTGTGTCCATTGTTGCTTTGTGCAAAAAGGTGGTAAAGTTATTGTCCTGTATGTCAATGTCATACAGCACAAATTATTAGATAACAGCATCTATTTTTATTTTAACACATTAGTTACAAATACATTTAACTAGATTTTAGAGCTGCAACACATAGTTGATCCACAGAAAAATAATCCCTATCTAAAATGTAATAATCATTAAAGTAATTATTCATGCAAAAATAGCAGAACATTTTGATTGAAGAATATAGATGTCCCTACTCTTCCCTGTTTTATTTCATATAAAACTAAAGGATATATCGAGAATATAGAAGAAAGATTCATTGTTGATGAAAATAATTGTTACTGGAGATCCTGACTGCAATTAAACCACTGTTTTTGATAAAGCATGTTTAATCTGATTCTTCTTCAAGGGTTATTGTAATTAGGAACATTGCAGTAATACAATTACTTAAAGGGCCCATGTCATGGCCATTTCCACTGATCATAATTCCATTGTTGAGGTCTACTAAAATAGATTTATATTGTGCAATTTTCCAAATTCACATTGGTTTCGCATACAGCATCTCTGTAAAATATGTGTATTCACCGGTGTATTCACTCTCTGTCCTAAACGGCTTGTTTGAGCTCTTGCCCCCCCTCCCTGTGAGCCCAGTGTGCTCCGATTGGTCAGCTCGGCCACTCCGTTCTGATTAATCAACCACCAGAGAGGCTCCGCCCATGTCTAAGACAGTGTTTTTTCGGCTCTGAGCGGAGCATCAGTTTTTGTATAAGCTAACCTACGTTTGCTAGTTGTTCAGTGTAATATGCCAACCTACTATGAACAAAAGCTGGTGGTTCATATTAGGCTAGCAATAACGTGTTTACAATTGCAATCTTATACGGTAGTCTGCTACGTGTCGGTCATTCTTTTTAGCTTGCATAAAAACAATGTTTTTCCTAGCATGTCTAGCTATAGGTAGCCTTGTTGTTTAGCTTTGTAGCATACATGCTAGGAAAGCCAACTATAATGTAATTAAGTTTCGCGACTTACCGTACTGTAAATCACCCGGAGTATACTGTATATGAGTATTTTGTGTGTGAATGCAGACATTCTCGTGCTATGAGAAACATGTAAGGCCATCTGCTGACATTGTAGTTGATATATTTAAACGCTAGCAACTTCGTTAGCCCAGTTAGCACTGTGTCAATGGCTTGTTCTGTGTAATAAAACCACTATGAACAAAAGCTAGTGGTTCATATTAGGCTAGGAAGAACGTGTTTACAATTGCAATCTTATACGGGTAGTCTGCTACGTTCGGTCATTCATTGTAGCTGGCATGAAAACAATGTTTTCGCCTAGCATGTCTACCTCTCGGTTGCGTCGTTGTTTATCTCGGTAGCATACACGCTATGAACGGTAGCTCGGTTAGGAACGCCAACTATAATGTACTGATCGTAGGGTAAATCACCCGGAGTATACTGTCTGAGTATTTCATGTGAATGCAGACATTCTCCTGCTATGAGAAACATGTAAGGCCATCTGCTGACATTGTAGTTGACAAACGCTAGCAACTTCGTTAGCCCAGTTAGCACTGTTTTGAACTGAACCTGAGATTCCAACAGTATATATGCTTGACTGGCAGAGGGTGCGTCATAGCTCTGGGCGTGGCTACTGGGTATCCAGACGTCACGATGCCCAGGAAGAACATGAGAAATCTCCAACGAGGCGTTTTGGGGAGGTCTTTTCTGTGTTAGAGTTTTACTCCCTACAGGGTGTACATTGAGGGTTTGTGACTCTGCACACCGTTTACATGCATAAAAACCTTCATAACACACAAGGGGACGGGTAATAACCGGAAAAGCATAACATGGGCCCTTTAATATGGTATTTAGTATCAGATCCCCTTGTAGGTTTGCTTATAAACTAGAAAACTGCTGGAGTTGTGTTGTGGGACTGATAAGGGTTCATCTTTACCGGTGTTCTTTGTTTGCTCACTCTGGATTCCGGGTCGCTTAAGATTAGCGTTCAAAAGCCTCTCAGTAGAAATTAGGAACGTGGCTTTCACATGTTGGTGATACGTTATTTGAAAGCGGAATTTTCCTTTGCTTAACATCAGGATGCAGTTATTTTTTGCGGACAACTCTGCAGTCTCTTTTTAAGTCTTCATTTACGAAGTGATTCCTTAAAGTGGTAAGAGAGGAAACAGGATATGAAGTGACTCAGACAGACATCTGAAAAAAGAGATTGCAGCTGGTAGGAAGGTGAACAGGAGGGAGGAAGGGAGGACAAGTCCATGTAAAAGATGAGCTGTCATGTCAGGACATATGATTTAGAGATATAAAGGAATGCATTCAGTAACTTCAATAAACTATCTCATATTCAGGTGATTTGTTGGCCAGGGTTGGATTAAGCAGATAAGGATGTTCTCCTGAATTATGTTTTCTCTGACTTCATATAATCAAACCAGATATATTCCAGGACTTTCCGTGCATGATGAGTACTGTGAGACTCATTTGTTTATTAGCGTCCTGTAGCTTCTGACCCAGCGGGAAGTTGTTTGGAAATCCTGTTTCTTATAAACTGGTCATTGTGATCTGTCTCTGAGTCACAAATTACAAAACAAATCCGGTAAGCAGAAATTGCGTCGAAAAAATAAAACATTGATATGATTGGGCAGTCAATCTAGACAGTTAACATTTATTTATTTAACTGGTTTTAGACTTTTGACGCTGCTATGAGTATGTGTGCAGTGAAGGGCAACCATGCACTACTCACTAAGTCTTAGGAGGAATGACTGAAAGCAAGGAAAAGCAAAGTCTGCACAAAATAAATAAAGACATATCCGCTAACTTAAGTAGAAGATGAGACATTAAACATTTGAAGCATTAAAGTGAATAGTTTGGACTTAGTGTTCTTCTTGCTCTGTGTACTTTGTTGAGTCAAACATAGAGAGTGGAGTTTCAGATATTCAGATTGCCAGTTAAGGCATCAAAAATAGCCTTTACTATACTCCCACATTTCTCTTCCTCCTTTCTGTTCCTTTATTTCTTTGTTGTTTACTAAAATCACTGTCATAACAATGACACAATACATTAGAAGGGAAACAGATGGCTTTTGTTTTTATTTCTCTCTAGGTCAGCAAATACACAGGCTTGTGTCACATTGGTGGTAAATGCAAACCAGTGCACTTTCATCTCTCTGTGTGGTACGTTGTGATACAGTGGGGAATTTGCAGCATGTAGACTGGGGAAATGATCAAAGAGATATACAAGAAAAAGCCAAATATAATTGTTTCGATGAGTAATTCTTAGTTTAATGTGAATTTGTACATGAATCCTAAAGGGCCTTAAACACCTACTGTACCTTTAGGAGTTGGTTTCCTGTGTTTTAGACAGAGTTAAAATCTATTGTTGGTATGTTGCCCCAGGTTAAAGTTTGAGGAAGTACCATCATTCACTCACATCTTGAGACCAGCTGCCCTGCTGTAACATAATGCTAATGCTGCTGTAACATGTATACACCAGAAGAACCACACAACTGCCTGCTGTCGTCCTATCCACATTTTGTAAATATAACGTACAAATGTCCCAATACAGTTTCATTGTAAGACACGCTTCAGTCATCCACAACTTAATCATTATGAATTCTGTAGAATGTAATGTTGCTTTGGGTTTAAAATCATATTTGTATAAAATCTACACAACTGCAAACTGATATAAATGTATACAAAATCTGACACTGCAACAATCAGGAATTAAATGTGGAGTCAGCCAAATCATACATTCTAAAAAAGGTTTTTGCTGACAAAAGTTTCTCCAACATTATAAGCAACTTTCTTTTGATTATGTGGCAGAATAGTAATATATAAGCAGTTATAAGGTTGCATCTCTAATTGTTTTGACAACTTTAACTATATTGACCACTAAGACTCAAGAAATGTACTTAAAGCTAGGTGGTAGAAATACCACACAATAAGCTGATAAACACATTTGGCATTCAGACACAGAGCAATGCAATATTTGTCATGTTTTCTGGCTACCTGACAAATGTAAGTCCCATATTCACTCACTTACGTCAACTCATAAGAAACATATCTGGTTGTTTTGTTGCTAGATGCTTTCACCTGCTGGTCTCTCAGTGTAAGAAGTGCTAGTGGTAGCTGGGAGGTAGCTTTTGACCTCTGGAAACAGAGTTGTTGAGAGGGACAACACTGAATCTGTACATTTGTGGACTGTAAAACCAAGTAAATTATAATTAAATAATAATTATAATAAAAATAATTCTCTGTTGGTTCACCATGGGAAACTTGAGTTTAATTTGATCATATTAAACATATAGTGGTGTGGGACATATAAGTCTTTACAAATCCCATTTGTTTTACACAAAGGGAAAACATGTTGTTGATCTGTCCTCTGTCGCCTGTCAGCAGGGATGGGTCCAAGGATGGCTCAATTTGTGTTTGAGGAGTAAACATAAATATTTGTCTCGGATGGGATAGATGTGGGGACAACAGGAATTTATAAGAGGAGGGTAAGGCTCCTTTTGTGGTTTAGGCCCATCATTTAACTGCATTTGATACATACCTGAAGGACATTGAGTTCTGTATCGACACCAGCGAATCAACAACAAACCTAATGACCCTGAGGGAGTCAAATGGAAATGTTTCGTCCACACCACAGCACTGAGACTGCTCTTGGTAAGATCTTCAATGACATCCACAGACCATGACATCCACAGACCATGAAAAACAACAAAGTAAGTTACCATAGCTATGCAGATGACATGTACATTTACATAAACTTTTCACCAGGAGACTATGCTCCAATTCAAAGTAAGTGCATTGAAGAAATCAATGACTGGATGTGTCAGAACCTTTTTTAATTAAACAAAGATAAAACTGTAGTAATTGTTTTTGGAGCCAAGGCAGAACGTATAAAAGTTAGCGCTGAGCTTCAGTCTGCAATGTTCAAAACAACAGATAAAGCCAGAAATCTAGGTGTAGTCATGGACTCTGACCTGAGTTTCAACAGTCACATTAAAACAGTTACTAAATCAGCCTACTATCACCTAAAGAACATATCTAGGATTAAAAGACTAGTGTCACAGCAGGATTTTGAAAAACGTGTCCATGCTTTTATCTTCAGTAGACTCGACGACTGTAATGGTGTCTTTACAGGTCTCACTAAAAGATCTATTAGAAAGCTTCAGCTGATTCAGAACGCTGCTGCTCGAGTCCTCAATAACACTAAGAAAGTGGATCACATCACTCCTGTTCTGAAGTCCTTACACTGGCTTCCTGTGTGTCAAAACAAATGATTTCAAAATACTGCTGCTGGGTTATAAAGCTTTGAATGGTTTCGGCCCAAAATACATGTCTGACCTACTGCTGGATTATGAACCATCCAGAACTCTCAGGTCTTCAGGGACTGGTCAGCTTTCTGTCCCCAGAGTCAGAACTAAACATGGAGAAGAAGAGAAGAATAGGGAGGGATGAAACCCTCTTTAATGGTCACACATGCAGAGCACACAGCACACACAGTGAAATTTGGCCTCTGCTTTTAACCCATCCTAGTACAAGGAGTCTAGTACTAGGAGCAGTGGGCAGCTATTGTACAGCGCCCGGGGAGCAATGGGAGTGGGGGGGAAGGGGGGTGTCCGGTGCCTTGCTCAAGGGCACCACGGCAGGGCAGGAGGTGAACTGGGACCTCTCCAAGTAGAAGTCCACACTCCATATTTAGGTCTGGTCGGGGACTTGAACCAGCGACCCTACGGCTCCCAGTCCAAGCCCCTACTGACTGAGCCACTGCCGGAGAAGCAGCATTCAGTTATTATGCTCCAAATATCTGGAACAAACTCCCAGAAACCTGCAGGTCCGCTGCAACTCTTACTACTTTTAAATCCAGGTTAAAGACTTTTCTTTTTGCCGCTGCTTTTATTTGAACTATTCACATCTCACGCTGCACTGTAACTTTTATCCATGTATTTTTTATGTTTCTTTTATTATCTTTGCTTTTTAATGACTGTTTTGAAATGCCATTTTATTATGTGTTTCCACTGCACTATTTCTTAATGCTCTTAATGTCTTTCATTTTTGTAAAGCACTTTGAAGTGTGTTGAAAAGGTGCTATATAAATAAACTTGCCTTGACTTGCCTTGCCTTATAGCGTATCCAAACTACGGCCCGGGGGCCAACTGCGGCCCGCGGACCATTTTGAATCGGCCCTCAGCAAATTAAAAAAGTATAGACTGAATGAAAGTATAATACTCTTCTACTTCTACTTATATTGTACTTCTTAAATATATATGTTCAAATATATTACACAGTATTCATGTGTTAATAAGCCCAATTTTCAAATAAATGTAGTCCATTAAAGTTGAAAACATGTCCTAACAAATCTAAGTTGATAATAAAAAAGCCCAATAACACATTTACATAACAACCTTGAAATAAACCCTTCATATTTCCTCTTATTATAATCAATCTGAAGCCTCTGTTTTAAGGAAGGAGCTGCTAACAAAATAAATGAAACCCTATGGAGAGCTGTCCTTACAGCATTTTCAAGTATCACCAATAATTTACCTACATTGGATTGATTTTTCAAACTTATAACTAAACTTAAGAGGCAATATACCTCATCTCTAGGGAGTGGCCCAGCCCTTCGTATATTTTTCTGTATGTGGCCCTCGGTGAAAAAAGTTTGGACACCCCTGCCTTATAGTGATAGTTTCTTTCAGGTGAATGACTTCTTTATAGAGTGTAACGGTAGCTTGAACCTATAAAGAGAGTGTGTAGATCACTTCTGCAGCTCCACATCTGAACAGCTGTAGTTTAACAGCAGGCTTGCTGGCTGGAGGCCAACTGGCTGCTCGTGTAATCCTCATTCTTCAGAGATGGATCATCACAGCCACAGGGCTGAGTCACACGCCTGCCGGGCTGAGTTTAAAACTGCTGCCGCGGTGAGAGAACAAACACAGTCTGTTGGTGCTGAGAGACTCTGCTGAGCGCTTCAGGTTCTGAGCATCAGCCCGGAGTATTTGGGAACAGAAACTTTTGATGAAAACTTGAATATGGACTACACAAGGCTGCTGCTGCTGCTGCTGCTCAGCCTCAGTGGAGCGGTTTGTGCAGTGGTGCAATGGACAGAATTAGATGAAGCAAAGGTAAGATTTTAACTTTTCAAACATACACTCACAATCAGATTTTTTTCTCAACAGTGAGTATACAAACTGTTTAATACTCTATATAAACATGCTCATGTTTTTAGTTAGTTATTCAAAATGTACTTTATTTTACTGTCTGGAAATCAAACGCATCCATGATACATACACATATCACATTAAAAAAATGCATGTGAATAAAAGCAAACAAAGCATTTATAACGAAAGGGGAGAAGGGTGTTAAGGTTACAGCGTTATATATAATCCTGTAAGAAGTTAAAATAGGACTTTACTGTATCCTACAGTTCTGGTTTAGGTGCCTTAATGTGGCTGCATCCTTAATAAATCCATAACGTTTTCCAATGTTCTTCTGTTCAGCAGCAAAACAACCACATTTACAAATGTTTTAAAAACGTTGACATCCTTAATACGTTCACATTATTCTTTTAAGAGCTTTTTTGTCTGCCTTTGAATTAACAGGCCTATCTGATGAAGTATGGTTACCTGAATGACCCCGCTGATCCGCAGGACCCCCAATACCTGGAGGAGGTCATTGAAGCTCTCAGGTAAAATAAACTGTTGCCCTTTCAAGAGGAAACACATGCGGGTACTTTGAATCAGTTAGATATGTGTGAACGATCCTCCCAGATACAGTGGAGCTCCGGAGCAGGATGTGTGTAGATGTTTGATCCATTCTTGTCTCCAGGGTTTTTCAGAGAGTGAATGATCTGCCACCTACTGGAGAGTTGGATGAAGCCACTGTGGATGTGATGAGACAGCCTCGCTGTGGCATGGAGGATCCCTTCAACAAGAAACAACACAAATACAGAGTGATGGGTGAGTCAAGAAATTAAGCTTGATTCTCTCTTTAAATAAACTGACAGCAAGAAGTTCATATTGCTGCTTTATAGATTTGTTGGCAAACTGCACAGGTTACATTCTCTATGCTCATGTCCTGAAAGGTTAACATGTGTTTGTAGATTTAACTTTAAACGTCACCTATGATGCCACTTTTTAATGTATTTTATACATGATTATGTGCCCCTCTGTGTTAAGAGATTCGGAAAGTTTCAGGAAAAAAGATGATCTCTCTTTTTGTCCTGATCCATCTATATAAAAACATGTCTGAAAATGAGCTGTAAGGTTTGGCCACTTTGTGATGTCACAATGATTTTTTGGGTTGTGCAACCATTAGACAATAACCAACCAAGGTAACCCCCGCACAGCTTATCACCTGAATCTCATTCTACAGCACCATTGTGTTTTTTTAACCAAATATCTCGCAGGTGGAGGCCAGCAGCAGCTCATTAGCATTTAAAGCTACAGATACAGAATCAGCCCTTTTGAAACAGGGCTGAAACAGAGGGGTTTATGGGATGCTCAAATGCACGATCTGTTTGGTATTTGGAGCCAAACACTTCAGAGACATGTTTTGTATATTTCTGAGACCTATCATATATTGTTGAAAAATAGTATAATAGGGGACCTTTAAAACTTAGATGCTTGTTGGCAAATTGGAAAGGTCCAGGATCTGATAGATTTCCATTTTAAGGCTTTAAGAAACTTTTAAAGCTTTGGGGAAATACTTGGACACCTGAATTCAGCTCTCCATCCTTATTATAAATATACTTGGAAATAAATAAAAACTGTTTGTCTCATGAGGAAGTATTAACATCCAGTGCACTTAAAGTATTTTGAATCATTAGATGTAACCCTGTGAAGTTACTAAATAACTGGGAAACCACGAACTTCAAAATCAAGTGACAATGTTCCAAATGACTATTTTTTCATTTGTATTCTCAGTGACTAATGTAGAAAATGTTTACTTCTAGTTAAGTAGGCAGTTTGGTCGTGGTCACATATAAATATAGTATTCATCTCTTGTAGGTCGTTGGAGAAAAAGGAGTCTGACATACCGTATCTACAACTACACGCCTGACATGAAGAAAACCGAGGTGAAGATGGCCGTCCGCTCTGCCTTTAAGTACTGGAGTGATGTCGCTGCTTTGATCTTCAGAGAGATCAGCTATGGCAGAGCAGACATCAAGATCTCCTTCCATAAGAAAGATGGATTCTGCCCATTCCCGTTTGATGGCCGTGGTCAGTTTTCTATTCTATCTAAATGTAGAAACATAGCTACTTTTGGGCCTGCTGTCCCCTGAAACAAAGAAACAAATGGTGATTTTAAAGCTGAAATGTCCTTTTAAAGGAATCGTTCTTCACAGATTGTAATTGCTTATCAATAACTAATTTGAAGTGAAGAAAACTCTGTCTCTCCTGCATGCCTTCTCTATAAAAAAAGAAAATAAAAAAAGAAGAAAATTCTCGATGAATTGTAGTCATCAAACATCTGTTACCAAACTCTCACAGTGCTCATGCAATATAATTAAAGTATTTCTTGTCCAGTAGTAAACACACTTTTACCCAAACGCATGCATTTGTTTCTCAAATCTCACTATTTAAAACACTTTAGCATAAAAGTTTTTACTGAAAATGTGAGTGTAAGGGAAGAATGAGAGGATGAATAACAAGGAACATGGAAAGCAATGTTTTTTTATCGAGAATTCAAGGGAAATTAAGGTGGGTTATTTATATATGTGACATTGTAAGGGTGACATTCTTTTAAATTGTTTATTTGTATCACTTGCAGGTCATGTGCTGGCCCATGCTGAGTCACCACAGTCTGGTATTGTGCATTTTGATGAGGATGAGTTCTGGACTGAGAGATCGTATTATGGCACTAATCTGCGTATTGTGGCTGCTCATGAGATCGGCCACGCCCTCGGCCTGGGACACTCTCAGTTCAGAGGCGCCCTGATGGCTCCAGTCTACTCTGGTTACCGTGCCAACTTCAGGCTTCATACAGATGATGTGCAGGGGATCCAGCTGTTATATGGTGAGTGCATCAAGAAGGCCTACTGGACTGTTTGTGTCAGTATTTATGAATTGGCATGAATCAGTAACTAATATATAAGCAAATTGTAAAAGAAAATAACAAATATACTGGGCGAAAAAAAAAGGGTAAAAAAAACCTTTATTTTTATGGATTAACTCAACATGACAATAATAGAGTCATTATTATTAATAATTATTTACACCCTAAAAAAATTATATATTAAAATGTCCGGGTTCAATTACACTAAAGTATGGTATACATTATGCCCAATATTAATTAAATCTGCAGCTGGATCCTTAAAGTTAATCAGTCTATGACATAGATATCCTTCATTATTTATAAATAAAGGCAATTCAGGCGGTAACATTTTTTATTCTACATTTCTTCTCTGCAGCCAAATATATTTCATACAAATATTGATGTCTAGTTTGCATTGACACATTTTCTCTGTTTTATAGGCAAACGCATCAGTAGCACTTTGGCCAGTCCAATACTGCCGAACAGTCTGCTTCCCACGGAGAGCAGCCATGACACTGAGATCATCCCTGACCCCTGCACTGCCGCACTGGACGCTATCATGTTGGGTGAGTTATGGATTAATTGAGAGTAAACACAGGAAACGCACAGGAGACTTTATCTTAGACCACAGCTCACCACCTTCCACATTTAGACCACAACACACCACGTTTACAGGGAATAGACCGACACATTCATGATCTACAGTAAAAGTTCAAACAAATTAAATAATATAAGATTGAAAGGAATATGAGATTACAGGTCCTTTGAGGAACAGTCTAAAAACTTTAAAAAATAAAATGGAGATTTGTTCAACTTCAATACGAGTAAATTGTTCCTTTTTTTATAAAGGTATATACCATCATACAAATATTGTTTTAGTAGGTTTACAAAACCTGTGACAAATACTTAAGTACCTCTCTGAATGTTTGATCAGGTCCATGGAGGAAAACGTTTGCCTTCAGTGGTGACTACGTCTGGACGATCTCTGATCTGGGACACAACACACCGATACAGATCAACAGGTTGTGGAAGGCCCTGCCTGGAGACCTGAACGCTGCGGTGCACTCTCAGAGGACCAACAAGACGTACTTTTTCAAAGGTACAGCTGTCCAGTGCTTCTGTCGTGTGTCAGTGTCAGTGGGAGAATAAACACTCAGATATCTAACTTAATTAAATGCAGTAATTGCACAATTAAGAAATACTCTGTTATATTAAAAGTCCTGAATTCTGAATAAAAGTACAAATACATATTTTCATCACATATACTTAGAGTGCCAAAAGTGAACGTTTTTCTTCTGCAGAATGGCATATTTCAGAACAACATATTGTTACTGGATTCTATCTATTGATGTTTGTGTCTCTCAATGTTGCATCTTGTAAACATAGCCCCACTATAACTACTTGTTATAAGGCACGGTAGTATATTTATACATTCTCTCGTATTTATTTTGTCTTATTTTGTATTAATAATATAATTCTGCATCACAGCTATTAACTACAGCTTTAAAATAAATGTAGTCAAGTAAAAAGTTCAATATTTTGAAAAAGGAGCATAACATTGAAATAGTACCTCAAGATTGTAATACAGTACGAGTGAATCTATTTCTTTACCACGCCCAGGGGCGCCGCCAGGGATTTTGGGCCCCACGAAAAGATAATCACATTGGTTACTTAAACATTTTTTTCTTAATGTTCTAATATTGTTTGGGCCCCTGTCAGTCACGGGCCCTTAGAATTGTCCTAACTTTTCACCCCCTTACGGCGCCACTGACCACGCCTGGTTGTGTGCTCTTCTTCTGTTCTCCAGTTGTGAGTCCAACTGTGTGAATGTTTGTCTCCTGCTCACAGGTGATAAAGTGTGGAGGTATACCATGTTCATGCTGGACGACGGCTACCCCAAACAGGTGAAACGGATCCCTCCGAACATCAACGCAGCCCTGTACCTGGAGAAGAACAAGAAGATGGTCTTCATCAAGGTATCATTAGCAGACTTTAAACATGTTAGTGCATCCCAATATGTTATTTTCCTTGCAGAAATCCTCAGTGTGTGTCTTTGTTGTCTGCCTGTGCAGGGTTCAGAGCACTGGCAGTGGGATGAGCTGAAGTTCACTGACCTGAGAATCTACCCCAAACCGCTCTCCATGCTCTTCTCCGGGGTGCCGTCAGATCCAGATGCAGCTCTCACCTGGACCAACGGCAAGATCTTCTTCTTTAAGGGAGACCAGTACTGGAGAGTGAATGACCGGCTGGGGGTCGACAGAGGATACCCTCTGAGCAAGAGGGAGCGCTGGATGCGGTGCTAGGGGGCGACCATCAGGGGGCAGCGTGTAGCAAGAGGTCGGCTCCACACAACCAGATTGTGAATTGTCACCAACCACGTGGAAGATCTATTCCCCACTAAATTACTTTTTGTTTCTCAAATACTCAACCTGTTACCTCCAATTATTTAAGAAACTTTTTCCTCGAATGTCTTCACAGTGACATATCATCAAAAAGGGAATAAATTATTGATGAATTCAACTAAGTGCAAAACTATATCAGATCCATTTACAAACTCTTTCAAAAAAAAGTCTAATGTATTGCGTGGATTGCCTCATACTTCCCAATGTATTTTCAACAATGCCACGTGTTTGTGAAGTAAAAGCAGATGTTAATGCTGTTGTTAACATGGCCATGTTTTTGGATTAGGTTTTTTCAAGGTAACACAGGGTGAGTATTTGATACAAATTGTAATTTTGTTGGTAAAGGAAACAAAAACAAAAGGGAATTTGAGGATTGATTTTATTTCACTGGACCTGATTTAAACCAGGCTTCTCGCAACCTCTGCAGTGATTTTTGTGAGGTTGACTTCATGAGTACAAATGTGTTTTTGTGCCAATATTATGTAATCTTTTGTATGATCTCAGGGCGAAATCAAGGGAGGCCTTCTGTTTTTCTCTCCAACATGTGTGTTGAATTATGTGTGTTAATATTCTTCAGTAAGATGTAATATGATGATGGGAGTGTGCACTTTCTTTACAGACATGTTGTGTAACCATTCATGCACACTTAAAAAAGTTATTCATCGCTCCTTAAAAACACCTCCAATATCTTATGAGTCACAACCATTTGTGAGAAATAATGTGACATTTTTTTTAAAGCCAGAATGTTACATTTTTTACAATTAAACAAGACACTGTCTGTTCTTATAATTGCCCTTTTCAATTGCAGTTCCTTGTCACCAGAAAATAGGCTCAACATTCCCGTAAAAAGTATAGCAAAATATTTATCGTTCATTTTGATGAAAGGCTCACATTGTGTTGTATGCAAAAAACATTTGGAGGCTCCATGGCAACCCAACCAGTTGCATGGTAGGAAATCCTCCACATGGCCTCTTTATTGCCCATGAGAAATTCTGTTGAGTAATGCTGCCAGTGTTGCTAAGAGCTCAAAAAGACAAACAGTGACTCGATCAATAACTAAAAAACAGTTTTGTATCAAACACATTTATTTATTTCTATCAACAGGTATGTACAGATTCAGGTAACAAGTGCATTGTCCCTTCAGAATTCAAACAACACAATGGATAATTATTTAAAAATCTACAAATTAACAACAAACATGCTTTGTTTTTTGTCCTTTTCTAACCTTACTTGGTCTTTACATAAATTAAATTATAAAACGTTTACTCCACAAACATACATACAGTCTAAATTATTCACCTACTGTATTCTGACAGAAAATACAAACTGTTATTTATTTGCACCTTTCAGCTTTTGCTACACTCCAGGTCATACTCATGTATCCATTTGCATGTCATATTTCATTCTCTTTAAAAAACTCTAAAAAATACACATTTTAATGATAAACTTTCACAACTTCTACAAGCACACAGTTAGACAGGTAATAACACAACACTTCAGGGCAATGACTAACTTTTTAAGAACAGTACATGTAACGCCAAACATATTGTTTTGTATTATTCACTACCAAAACAGAATAACATACGAGGCTCGTACTTGCTGTTTATGTATTTAATACACGATAAAAGGAAATGGAGGACCCTACTTTGTTAGTGTCTGTGTTTAAGTGTTTCTCTGAGAAACACAGTGGTTATATTATAGCTTTCATCAAACACCTCTCACTTCTCCCCAAAAAGCAGCATTCTCTTTGACAGAACAGACGCACATCCTAGTTCCAAATCCATTTAAGAGCACGAGGGGAGCCGTTTGTAGGTTAGGAAGACACAGTTAGAGAACCGCAGAGCTTTAAGTAGTCCCTTCTTTTCTCTGTTTGGCTCAGACCCTGACGACTGGGGTTGTAGCTGTGAGGGGCGCGGTGGACCCGGTGTCGTAGTCAAAGTCAATCATGGTGTGGTTGGAAGTGCCGATGCTGCTAAGGGAAGTGCCGGTGCCCATCTGTCTGTCCCGCAGACTTTGCAGGTAGCTCTGAGAAAAACAACACAGGGAGAGATGAGCCAGGTACACACAAAAAGGGACATCAGCAAGAATTTCATGGCATTAGTTAGGCTTAGGCCTGTCCCGACAACTACTTTAGTGAGACGCTATCTTGTGCCAAGAATACATGGTGGTTAACAATATTATTGTTTTTCGTTAGTGTCATGACAGACCTAGGCTTACTGGTGAGATAAAACTGATGCCATACAAGCAAACTAATGAGTATCTACAGCACACGCCATGTTGGGTGACACTGACCGGTGCCAGTAGATCCCCAGCGTAACGTTTCACTGGGGTGGGTTTACGGCGGTACGTGCCTTCCTGCCCACCTGCCTGCTGTCGCTTCTTGGCGTCCTTCTCTCGAATCCGCATCAGCTGGACTCTCTTCTGTCTCCGACTGATAACCACTACAAGAAGAAGGGAAAAATCAAAGGCATTTTTGTAACGTCACATCATGGTTTAAATAAAAACTGACAAAAACTGTGAGAAGCACAAGTTGAAAATGTGTGTTTGTTAAATACTAACTTAAAACATCTGGGCCCATATTTATCAATTGGCAAGAAATTGGGATTTTTCTAACAAATTGAAAAGGGGCAGAGCTAGGTCTCTCATTGGCTGTTCCTGCTCTGTGAATACGTGTTACTATTTCACCTAGTTGGAGTAAGTCGCCTGATATTTGTGAAGACACATTTATTCCTCTGTTTTTAAGTGCAATTCTTGAAAGTTGACATTTAGAACTCAAAGGCACATTATATTTCCTCCTTACCGTCAGTGTGCGAGAAGCTGTCATCTGTCAATTTCCACTGGACCAGTACTCCTATGAGGCTGAGGGCGGGCCAGATGCCCAGAATGACCCAGCTGTACCAGCACAGAGGTGGCCCGGTTGTAAGGCGCAAGCATTCGTACACGTGATTAGCCAACACCAGCATCTCCACAAAGTAATCAGCACACACTGTCATGATGGCTGCCCCGAACACCGCCGTGGAGATCATGGTGAAGAGCTTCTGCCACTGCAGTGTCAGCACAGCAAACAGCATGCCCGCCCCCAGAAGGGAACCCAGTGGGACCCAGACTGTGGTTGGAGTGTAGAACTGGTGAGTGACCAGTAGGGCGGCGAGAGCCAATAGGAGGCCCAGAAGCAGGCCGGTCATGAAGAGGCCGACGCTTCGCACCAGCATAGTGACCAGGCCGCACAGCAGGCCGATGCCGAGGCCAATCCCGGCGCTGGCCTCTACGCTCAGCTGCGTGTCCAACACGTGCTCCTTGTGGCACAGCAAGAAGATGACGACGGAGCCGAACATCAGACCAGACAGGAACATGACCGCCTTGAAACAGCGGTAACCTAGAGGAGGACAAACCGGAAATAGTTACAATGAGGAATAAGGTGATGTAAAGATCAGAGGATAAGCATTTGTTCTTAAATATATATGTGAAAGGTACAAGCTCAACAAAGCAACTCTGGACACATACAGTGAGAATGTTTTTGTGTGAAACCACTAAGATCAAGTAAAAGCACACGTTTATCCAAATCGATTTGATATCTTTTAACGGTCCCCTATTATACTGTTTTTCATTACTTTATTATAGGTCTCAGATATATACAAAACATGTCTCTGAAGTGTTTGGCTCCAAATACCAAACAGATCACCCATTGTAGCATCCCATAATCCCCTCTGTTTCAGCCCTGTTTCAAAAGTGTCTGTTACTTTAGATGAAAATAAGGAGTCACTCCCCACGCCCCTCTGAGAGATATTTGGTTAAAAAGAACACAATGGTGTTCTGGGAGGAGATGCAGGTGATAAGGTGGGGGGGGGGTTACCTTGGTTGCTGATTGGCTAATGGTTACACAAGCCAAAAAAACGTTATGACATCATAAAGTGGCCAAAATCTGATCAGCTCATTTTCAGACAGGTTTTTATATAAATGGATCAGGACAGAAAGTGAGAGAATCTTTTTTCTTGAAACTTTCAGAACCTCTTTACACAGAGGGGACACATGTTTATGTATAAAAGAAAGGAAAAAGTGGATTTTGCATAATAGGTGACCTTTAAGGCAGTACTATGAAGCTACACGTGGCATTTTGATGGTGTGTTATTTCATCCCAAAAACATTTAGTTTGACCCTCCCTGATGTCATAGTCTATGGGGATCCTCACCAAAGAAGCAGTAGATGATGCCGAACAGGCAACACATGGAGCATATGACGGCAGGGATGACATCATACTTCCTCTCTATCTCCAAACTGCAGGCGTCGACCTCGACCGAGCCTGTCCCGGCCCCCTCGGTGCTCAGCCCGCTGAGGTCTGCCATTATGGGTGATTGCGGGAGGCTGGAGTTCGGGACAAGGGTGAAACTTCTGGTGACGTTATCTCAAGTCCATCTGAGCAGGTCTGGGGAAAGTAAAAGAAGAGGACATGTTTATGAAATACCGGAAAATGAAGAAATGGTGTGGTATCCTGATCAACACAGAAAACTGAAGTTCTCCAGGGTAAATGTGAAGTGTGAAACCTCCAGGTCAACTGTGACTTCTGCCTAGCTGCTCTGTATGCGCAGCTGTCATACACTCAACACAAAGCTATGCAACCCGGGCACACACAAGCAGCTCATTCACTCGCTTTAATCAATGAGACAGGCACCCTGGTGATCTCTGTCCTGTCTTAATAATGAGGGTCATAAACTCTGACAGCCATAAATGGTCGGTCTTCTGAGAAAAGTAATTGAATATACTTTTTTACATTTCTTCACAATTAACATCCATTTTTGTTTTGTTCTTTCCAACTAAACCCCCTACTTGACCATCTTCATTGTTTCAGCACTGTGAAAATGTTTATCAGGCATAAGAAGTAGGAATATTTTTTCAAATATGAACACAAGTCTTTCGGTTCATCCAACAAGAAAAAAAGATTCCCACATTTGAGATACACAGTTTTCACTACAGTAACAAGCTGATATCACATTTATGTAACACAATGCCTCAAACATTTTTAGTAGTTCTTTTTAATTTCACCTCAATTGGTACTATAGAAAAGCTACATTTGATATTCATTCTGCAGCGAGCCACAGAGGCTGCAGTGGGGCTGAGGGTCTGTGGGTGGACGGCTCGCTCCGAGGCCTCGTGTATGATCTCACCACAGCTGAGATCCGATTACAGCTCACTCACGTTTTCTGCTTGGGACAAACAGTCAGGAACAGTCCCTCCTGCCTTTATTCTTTGCTTTGTGCCAGATCTCTGTCTTCTCCGTCTATCCACTACCTCTCCTTCAACTGGAACGTTCCACACCTTAAATAATTTTCCTTTTTTACAGTAAAATGTGCCTTATTTGTTACAACTTCTACTTAGACACAGGGCTCTGTAATTTGTATGTCCTGCCTATGAATTACTTGACATGGAAAAAATGAGAGCTCATTGGAAAGTTTTCTTTCCTTCTTTAGTCTCTCGCAGATTTTCATAACCTGTCCCTGTCTCCCTCTTTCTGCTTCCCATCAGTGACAACGTCAATGTCGGATTCTTTACTGAAAGACGAGACACACATTTAGGATGTGGTCATTTAGAGTCCGGACAATATGATTTAGTGGAGGTTATATTATAGTGTATTTCCACTTTGAGGATATACGTTAATAGCTAAGATAATTTACTAAAGCAAGTCAAAAAGTAATATTGATAGAATGAGACAAAGGCAAAATAAAATATGTTCAAAGAAAAAGGAGCTCTGTGGATCTCAAGACTATAATCTTCACATCAACTCTATAGCCAACTTAAAATGAGGAACCAAACTTTGTTGCAGGAAATAATAAAACTACACACGGGGCTCAGGGCGGCACGGCGGCTTGGTGGTCAGCAGTGTCGCAAGAAGAGTTTAAATATAATCTCTATATTTGTGTCTGAGGACACTTGAGTTTAAGTAGTCTAAATGTTTTGTGATGGATTGGCTTCCCTTGCCCAATAAGCATGACTCCAGCCCCATGAACCCTGGATAAGAGGTTTAGAAAATGGATTGACAGACACAGGAAGCTTATTGTTCAGGGCTTTGGTCTCTTTACTGTGATCTTCTCCTCCATGTTGGGTTTGATTCAGTCAGGGTTGCATTGTGGAAGTGTTCAAATGTGAATGTGTACTTCCACAAAGGTATCTATAAGTGTACTTCTTACAGATTGCTATTGGTTGTCCCTGGAGCACTTTGCCCCAGCTGGCCTTTGTCCAATAGGACACGAATGCAGCGAAAGGCCACCTGGTTGGTTTGGATATGAAACACCTGCACCAGCCAGCTTCCTGCAGGGAAGAGTTTGAGAGTTTGTGACCTCTTGCTGTTTGTCGGTTTGTTTTATAGTGAGAAATGTGAAGCTTAAATAGTTATGGAGTAAGGTCAAATTCTATGCATTCCTCTAACAAACTACATGATGTAATTGTTGTATGTTACTCGGTAAATAGAGATCATTAACCTAATCTGCAGCACTTAAGTAAAACAAAAAGCACAGGTAATCTATTGTTCTCTAGATTTATACACAAATACACGTGATTTGATGTCTCTATCTTACAAAATATAAAAATATAGTAACATATCACTCAGTAGCCCTTTTTTCTTTTTACAGTAATTTCGGTTATTGGACACTAACAAGATTTTCTCTTGACTTTTTCTTTTGCTTCAAGAGAGCCACGACTTTGAATGAGCGCTTTGTGGTCTGCTTATTGATTCCAGTTAAACCATTATATGGTCAAATGTCAGAGTCTAATAGAAATCAATGAAGCCCAATGTCTTCCTCTCTAACACACATCATATTTGGATACTGTTTGATCTTCTATTGCAATTGGTCAGACTACTTTTTCGTTTACCAGGCGCTATGTGTGAACTAGTTTATAATTCATCACCATTTTAAAAGTAATTAACTTAACACCACAAGTTCACACATTTCCCCATGAGTCCGCCTCATGTTACCTCTCTGTCACAATGGTGTCCTATGTCTAGCAGGCTTGGAAGGCCTTGCTGCTGAGGGAGAATGGAGCCATTATGGGGCAAAACAAAGACTCTGAGGCCCATGCTGTGACCTCTAGTGGCACTAGAGGAAACCATGCGGACGAAAAAGGAGACCGCATGAAGATGGCTGAGAGCACCGAGGGGACTGGTAGATCCCGAGTGTTTGCTGTAAGATGTGTGCCAAGTATTTGCCTTCAGAGCGCTGGTGACTGATGGAGTTGGGGGGGGTCCTAACTATCTATCCTAATGACAGAGCTCTCTGGAGGCCCTTCCGATTCTTCTTCTTAGCTGAATTTTCTGCGAGCTGAAGTCGCCTGGCAACTAATTCAATACAACTCAATAAGACTGGGAGTCTTCGCTATAGCAGCTCTGTGAGGCTGCACTTACTTAGTTGAAGCTTGATGCCAACATCAGCTTGCTAAAATGCTCACAGTGAGAATGCTGATGCTTTGGAATAATTATTTAAGTTTTGTATGCTAAAAATGTCAGTAGAGCTAGGAAATTAATTTGTTTTCAGCTTTAAAACAAAGAACTGGACAACATTCAAAACTAAATCTCATAATAGTGCTAGATGAAGAGTCAGAGGATCACATTTGTCCTTAAAGGACCTTACATACAATAGATCTCATGGCAATCCATCAAAAGGTTTTTTATTAATATATTTCCCTCAAAAACATGTTGTCCTCCTCATTATGACGCCAAAGGATCACTAAGGTCAGAGGGATATTTCCACCAGGGACGATCCGTCCAATAGTTGGTGGACCGACTGACCGGCTGATTAAGGGCTAAAGAGTTTACAGAGTATTTCATTTCCAGCAAGGACAAGCTTGATCAGTAGAGGTTTGAAATGTACCAAACCCCTTTTCTTGGAGTCCAATGGTGAGAAAATAGAAAAACAAAACACACAATTGCCTCTAGAAGTATCACTTACGTTTACTTAAGCGGCAGCAGGAGGAACTGTGAATTGACAAACAATAAGCATTAGCTGCAAATGAGCTATTGTAATATTATGTTACCCTTCAAACAAAAACCTGCCCAGGAGTATACTCCCCCTGAACAAACACTGCGGGGGGCTGAGCCGACTGAGTGCTCAGCTGCTGAGGAACAGGCTGGGCTGACTAAAAGAGTTCCCCACATAGCAAATTTGGGTGTGTTTGAAGAAGAGTTGGGTGGGCGTGTGTGTTCAGATCCAAGGATTCTGCAAGGGCTCCTCCAACTTGACGGCTAGGGCCAGCTGAGAAACTGAAATCCTGCCGTATTATGACCTGGCTGTCTGACAACTTCACTCGGAAGACTCTACCAAGAATGTGAGACGTGCCGGGGTCTGCGCTCTGCAGTTGTAGCAATAAATCTCACCACCTTCAGCTGAACACTCTAACCAGCTGAAGGAACCATGGGAATAAAGGTTATGTTCACAGTGGGGGTCATTAAAACGGCTATAACCCCCATACTATAAAGATGGATGATCATCGTCACAATAACATCCGCATTAATTCTCATATTGAGCAAGACATCATATGGGCCACAATTGAGCTTCCTGTCTCTCCATAGCAGGAAGCTCAGGACCAGAAGAGGAAGTGGAACATCAGCTTTCAGCAGGAACTGACCCTCGTGTTGTGACAGAGAGCAGACAGGAACAAAAAGATGAACCATCAACACTGAAACATCGCTTCATCTCAACAACAGCACTGCCTAGATTCAAATGAGTCTGGGAAACACGATGCATCTACCTACAGTATGCTCTTCACTGCCATGAAAGCTAGCATTGTCAACACAAACAACTAGTTCTAAGCAAATTGGTTCTTATAGGGAAACAGCAGGAACGGCAACCTTGCAATTTTATGAAAACAAGCTTTTAATCTGTCTGGCAAACACGCTAATCTTTATAACACTTGCCATTGTGTCTCTGATTACGCGATGGAAAATATTGCAGCATGGAGTTGGTGTGATGTAACAACTTGCGTAATGAACAAAGCACCACATGATAGTAAATGTTAGGGATGCTCCGATCGCCAATTTTGGGGGCGATCGCCGGAATCAGTATCTGCTAGGGCTGTGCAATTAATCGTATTTTAATCGCAATCACGATTTTGGCCTGCCACAATTACGAAAACAACATAATCGAAAAAAACAATTATTTAGCTTTGCTAGGTTGTGACAGTGCAACATATTTGATCTAATTAATTTTGGTCTCATTTATTTGTATTTATCATATTTATATATGTTTAGTAGCTTGGGGAAGTGCGCTCCAAAAATATTTGTTGATCTTGTTTATTGGTATTTATTATTTTGATATTATTTATTTAAATGTATCATTTATATTATTTATTTTTGTATTGGTTTTTCAGTTGAATTATACGTTCAGGGTACTCAACAGTTAAAAATATACTGTTCAAATTATTATTTGAATTTGTTTT